GGCGGGAACGAGTCTCCACATGGGATCCGAACCCTCAGCGGGAGCGCTGCCGCGCTCCCAAGTGGCGCACTCTCCAGTGCGCCACCGGGCCGGCCCGGGTATTCATTATTAATAAAGGGAAATGTTTTTCACCAAATATATTATTGCTGCTTCTCATCCAAATAAGGATGAACTGCTTGAATAGCATTTTTCAGGAAACTAATATTTATTCAGAAAGTTGTTTTCTTCCTAAATATGTGAGAATCTGAAAACAATTTTTGAAGCTATATTTAGCAATATAGGTAAATATCACAGGCTGACACAGACTAAAGGTGAAGGGCTCTGTGCAAATTAACTTCAAATACCCTGGACTAAGTAACATTGACTTAACTCAGGGTTTCTCAAGCTAATTTGACTGTAGAACTTTCTTATCTCCACAATACCTACTAACTTCCACAGAACTAGTGTTCCATGAAACAAGTACAGTGGGAAACACAGCCTAAAATTTTTGAAAACTGGCCATCTGCGGGCAAAAACATTTACTCAGTCTTTCAAATTGTCCAGATGATTAAATTCACTAATTTGGAATTAAGGAGGTTTTGCTGTTCATTCTCCAAACAAGTTTTCATTCAACAAACAATCTTGAAATAATATACTTGTGAGATTGAGCACTAACCTATAAAACACACTCCTTAAAAGCAAAGCTGGGGTTGAGCTGTGATTTGGGATTTTAAGTGGAGGTTACACTTGATGCTCTTCTGTTTTCAATCAGGCAGCAGTGAAGGCTGTGGTGGCCTCCTCCAGGCTGGGAAGTGCCAGCAGCAGCCACAGCAGCATCCAGGAGAGCCACAAGGCTAGCCGAGACCCATCTCCAGCCCAAGATGGCAACGAGGACATCAAAGCTATTCCAGAGGGAGAGAAAATTCCAGAAGACAGGGCCCAAGCGACAGTTGAGGGAGCTGAGGCTGAGCTGATGAAGGTCCAGGCCTCAGATGAAGTTAAAGATGCAGATATAAATGCTGAAGAGGCCTCCAATATGGTGCCCGAGGCATTGGAGGATGGGATAAAGGTGGCTGGCCTGGAAATGGAGGAGGGCCTAGCAGAGGAGAAGCTCAATACTGTGGAGGAAGAAGCAGCCCCCAAAGAAGGGCAGGAAAACCCTACTGGGGGACTTGGAGTTCCACAGCAAGATGTGATCCTGCCAGAGTACTGAGTCTGCATCCTTCAGATCTGAAAGCCAAACCGTGGCATTTTATGTACTTGTCCTTCAGCAAGGAAGATGTGGAAGCATGATACGCACTATAGTGATTCTGTTTTTGAGGTGCAAAACAAAAATACACATAGAGCAGTTGGTAATCCTAAATTCAATGCATGTGACTGCTTTATGAAAATAATAGTGTCTTCTATGGCATGTAACGGATACCTAATACTGATGAGTTAAAATTGAAATTACAAGTAAACACAACATAACACTTAAAAACATAATTTTCAACAACCAGTGGCACACATTTGAAGTGAACAGCAGCAGATTGATAATGCTTTGAAAACCTAGCCATCCTATGTCCTTTGGATTTCTTCACAAGGCAGTAATTCCTTTGAATTACTGCTTGGCTAATATTAGGTAGTGCTACAAGACATGTTCCCATGACTTTCATAACGTTTTACTTTTCATCATAAGATGTTCAGACTGTATGTAAGGAGATGGTTATAGGTGATAGTTAAAAGTATGTGCAAAAAAATTTCACTTAAATTGAAGCATACTTTTAAGGACCATGAAATCATATGTCCCTAAAGCTTGTGTGGAGAATGCCTTTTTATGTTTTCTTATTTATATACACTATAATAATCATCAAAATGTTCTGTCATAAAATTCTGCCATTTTACAATACTGGAAAAAGTATTTTACAAACTCGTGCTGAGTTTCAACTGCTGAGTGAAACTCACACTGAGTTTTATTCTTTCCTTCACCTGCTTTCCAATAAAATGTCCTGATGGACGAAACTTAGGGGGGAATAAAGAAACTTAGGGAAGAAAAAAGATAAGACCGGGACGTAGACTAACAAAGATAAGATTGATTCCTTTTCATTTTACAAATAAAATAGTATTTGTGAATTTATGTAGTCTTATAGATAGGGCCATTTTAATAGGTAAACTCTGTTAATTACCAAATTCAAATATTTAGAAAAATCTGTTTCACAGGTTGGCACCAAAATGTCTGAACAGAGTAGGAATAATATTCCATTATAAGATCATTCATTATTGACTTTGCTAGAGTAAGGAAACATTATTGTTTACAAAAGCCCCTTTTCCTCCAATTTATCATTACGAAGGTATATTGCTTATGAACTAAAGATAATTATGAAAAGCTAGTATATCTTTTTCTCTTTGGGAATGGAAGTGCTTATATTTTACAATGTGGTTTTGAAAATTTCCACATCAAGAAATCTAGCATAATGCAACTTATTTCCCTTAAAAAAAAAAAAGCAAAAACAAAAATAAAGAAAAAAACACTGATTTCGAATCAGACCCTTGAGAAGCTAGAACATTACATATGTTTATTATGATTTTTTCTGAGAATAGGTATAATTTTTGTTTGACTTTCATGGGAACACATATCCCTTATAGAAATCAGACTAAGTCCAAGTATCTCAAACTTATTTCTAGTTTGAATTGAAATGAACTTTTTATCACAATAATTACGTATCACATTTTTGGTGGGTTTCCTTAATTTTAAAAAAAGGATTATTTTCAAAGTCCAAAATAGAGACAATAAAAATGGCCATCACATAAAAATCTTCATTAAAAAAAAGATCCTAAACTCTTTTGGCTTTTTCTCAAAACTGTTGTCAGAAAATAAAATTAAAACTCTGGTATGTAGAGACTATTAGACCTCAGCAGACATCCTGCTTTCTAAGCACAGATCTCCCTTTATTACTATTGTTGAGAAGGAAACAAGGTAGGACTTTTTATCTTCCATAGCTAACATGGAGGAAAAGTTCCTGAAGGGGCTCATCATCTGGGCTCAGAAGATTATTTTTTGTATTATTTTTATTATCTAGTAGGGAACATTTAATCTCTTCTTCCCTCTTTCCTTCCTTTCTCCTTTAATTATTCCTTCTCAGAATCCCCATTTTAGCTGTTATAAAGAACTCACTTTTTCTAACTTTTAAGAATGCCTTCTTAAGCATTAAGATTTGCATTTAAGTAGATCAATTTCCTGGTGTACTTTTCCCCATAAAACTTAACAGTTGTATATGGTAAGCATCCCATATATTAGAAGAATGAAGAAATGAAGGAAAGGGGTCTTGTTAGAAAATGGCAATTAGTTGGAAGAACACATCGACCCTGCCAGCCCACACCCATATCATTCCAAAGGCAGTTGTTATGTCATTCCAACACTAGGGCTGACTGCATTTGTTGGCCCTGTGTACTATGGGAACAGCATTGCAAATGCAAGGACCAATGTGTCTTTTAGAATTAACCCATTTAAATGAGTGCACATGATCATTCCTTAGTGAATTCTCAAGAGTGTAAGGGTAATTACCTCTATCTTTTTTAACCTGTAAACTGCATTATCTAAAAAAATCAACAGAGGTTTTAAATTTTAACTCATATGTTAAAGATTAAATCCTGATAATGCCTACATAGTGACTAATTTAGTTGTTTCAGTGGGAAACAAGTCAAACTTTCATAGAAAATGGTTATTTCGGTCAAATTATTCAAAGATTTCAGAGAAATACAACCTAAGTTAGAATAATTACATTAACATTTTTTAAAGAACTGACAACATTTATATTGCTTGTTAAAATGGGATATATTATCTATTTCAAAGATTTCATAGCTAAATAATGGTGGACAAACAGAGACTTAATTTGACAAAATACTTCATAAAATTACCCCTAATTGACAATATAGTCACAAAGAAAATTAATTAAAGAAATTTCAGCAAAGAACAATAAATTACATTTTCCATTTTAGAGCTATTTTCACATGGCATTACTGATTTTTATTTTGAGATAAGTAGAGATACATAGCATAAACTAGATTATTTTACCATAAAGAACAATTTTGAATTATTTCTCCCATTAAAAAAGTCTAATTGGAATCCCAGTGTTTGTTCTTAAATTGTAAAAGCTCATTTGCCCCAGGGATACATAAATAGGGTAGAGATTAGAAATAATACGGTTGTAGAAGTTATCTAGAACAAGTGCTGTCTAATATAAATATAATTCACATGTGTAATTTAAAATTTTTCTATTAGCCACGTCTTAAAAAGTAAAAAACCCAAAAAACAAAAAAGCAGATGAAATTAAGTACAGTATATTTTAATCCAATATATACAAGTTATTATATCAATATATAGTCGATATTAAAAATTAAGGTATCTTGAATTCTTTATTTTCAAACTAAGTTTTCAAAATCAGGAACGTATGTTACACCATTGATACATCAAGTGCTCAATAGCCACATGTGGCTAGTGGCTACCCTATTAGCACTGGTTTAGAGCACTTTTTAAGCAAAGTGACCCTTGAATTTCTATGCATAGATTTGAGCTGCCTCAGTTTTTCATATTGATGAGTTGATGGGAGGACAAAAAGAAAACGTTTCAAAATGTTACAGACTGAAATATGTAAAAAGCTTATTCCACTCCTGCCTATTCATGTGCTTCAGAAAAGTGTTTCCCAACATGACTTTAAAGAACAACACTAGCATGGGCATTGCTAACTTGTGTATTGGCCACAGTCTCTCTGATCCCTTGGGCCCTGGAATCTTGACTATAATCTAGAGTCTCCTAAAGTCTCCTGAGTACTGCCATGAAGCCAATAGTATTCTTGCTTACCAAAATCTACTGTGGGACAATCACGCGTCCCCATTCTAGAAGGACTGCACACAGAATCCAATTTTGTAGGCCTGGAACAAGCTGGACATTTTCTTTGTGTCACAGACAATATGATTTCTAGAAATCTACTGAATCATACCAAATTTGCATGTTGAAGATTGTATGATGATGGTGATATCGTGCCAGTTATTCCCAAAATGGGAATATGACTGTTGGCTGGCATTTTTTTAGATTTCAGAAGGGTTTAATCAACACTGCCATTACAAATCGTTTCACAAAAAAGACTTTTGGAATTTTCTTACATAATGATTTTTGAATTAAGGTTCTATAGTCATTTTTAGTGGCAGACTTAAAAAAAGTTTGCCTTTTACTGTGACCTCAAATACATAATATTGTAAACATATTTTGTAATTTAGAATGTTTAGCAATCCCTATTTCCAGTTTCACATGCAAAGTAACTGACGGTGAGTTGCCTACAGGTTTAAATTTGGAGATAGCCATTTTGTTTCATAATTCAGTTTTTATTGCACTGAAGCAGCTGGTAGCATTTCAAAAAGAAAAGTAAATGCCTGAAAAGGCAAAGGATAAAATTAGTAAACTATATATTCTGTTTTAAGATTGTTCTTGCAAAGCAAATTTTTAAAAAAAGTCAACAAAGTGAATCAGCACTAGGTTTTGTTTGTTGAAAGTTGACTCCATATATAATTGACAAATATACAGAACAGAGTCAATTACATAATTATAATGCCATTATGTAATTTACTTGTCATTGCAGAGTATTTAGTCTTGTTTTCTAGGTCTACTTTATATGGTACAAAGTTTCCAGACATTTACCTACATAATAGGATTTGTAATATCCGCGTAATTACTGCCTATTATGTCATATTCCAATTTCCTTAATGTTCATCACTGATATGTTCCTGGTCAGGGTCATTACTAACATTTGGGCATTTACTTGTTGAACACTGCTTAATGGTTAAACTCTATGTGTGTCTGCAGTGTTTTGATAAAAGTATTTATGTACATGTAATTTCAATAGTGGTATTGTAATATTCATAACCACATGATAAGCAAAAATGTATCCAACACTTCTATAAATTTTTTTTCAAAGTCCTTTTAGTCCCTGACACACTCAGGATGAATTTCTGGTTCCCTAACAAATAGAAAAAAAAGAGAGAGAGAAACCACTTGAGAGATGGTAGTTACACACCCATGGTAAAAACAAGTACAGCATTTTCTTTTTTTTTTTTTTTCCCTTTTTGTCTTTTTTCGTGACCGGCAACGGATCGCAACCCTCAGTGTCGCGCCCGTACCGGACCGGGACCGGCAACGGGATCACAACCCTCGGCATTGCGCCCGCACCTTGCTCAGCCAGTGAGCGGCCGGTCTGTATGTGGGATCCGAACCCTCGGCGGGAGCGCCGCCACGCTCCCAAGCGGCGCACTGTAGCAGTGCGCCACCGGGCCGGCCCCAGCATTTTCTCATTCTATATTTTGACCTACTAAGGTGAAGTTTTTGTCATTATTACTCCTCATGGATAGTACCTGTGTTCAGATAATATAAGCTCAGCTCCTAAAGCCCAATCATTTCTATACTTATCTGGGAGAGTAATATAAACTTGGTTAATTTGTTCTGTTGTTTAAAATTCCAATTTTTATAAATGCTTGGTGATGAACTCTAGACAGTTTGGTTGCTTGATTTTAACTTCCTTCAAGACTCAGTCTTTCCCCTACCATCCGGTTCAGAGGACCACCTAGGGCAAGATTATGAAAGTGGACTGTCCCATTTGACTCCTTTGCAGGAATCAGACACTGCTCTAGAGAAGACTCCAGTCATCCAACCTGGTTGAGCTCAAATGAGCCAAGAGGGAGAAAACCTCTTCCCATCCTCTGACTGAAAGTGATACTGTTTGAGTGTTGGTATACTGTCATTGATCAGTAATGGAAAAAAGAGATTCCACCAATTGTTTGCTCTTTTTTCTACCTCGGTTTGCTACCACTTGTCCCAGATCAATGTTTTTTTTTCCATCCCTATGGCCATCAGGCTCACCCTCGAGGACTGTGAGGTCCTCTAAAGCCCTGGCAGGAGCATCCAGACTGGCTGGAGAAATGCGGGGTCCTTGGTGGCCCAGAATTTAGTTTGAAACTCTAAAGAGCAATGCTAAGACTGCAAAATCACACTGTTCTAAATAGTTGTTCTCAGCACATTTTGAAGATTGATCTGGAAAGTCCATAGATACGCAATATTTATATCCACATAATCTTTGCTGTGATTCATTGTTAAAAATTACAGATAATTAACCTTTAATTCAGATTAAATAATCTTTGTTCTCCATTTAAAAGATTGTTTTGGGCTACTCAAATACAAGACTTTACATTAGAATTTTTGGAAGCTGTTGTTTTCCCTAAGCTCTCTCCCAACTCTGACAATTAGTTGCAAATGATAAAAATATACTAGGTTTGACTTTTTTTTGATTCATGGATAGTAGTTAATCTTTTTTTTTGTAAAGGATATAATTAAGCATGAGTATAAATTGAAAACAATCATCACTGCCTCCTTTTAACTTGACCTATTTTTATGCCAATAACAATAGTTAATATACAATAGCATAGAGCACAAATAGCATATTCATGATTTATGATTTTTTTTTCTGTTCATGGCATCCTTACTCTCAGTAATATTTCCATGATCTTCCATAAGCCAAAAGAATGTTTTAACATGTCCATTTATTAAGTACAGTCACGTACTACATAACGATGGGGATACAATATACAATAGCATAGAGCACAAATAGCATATTCATGATTTATGATTTTTTTTTCTGTTCACGGCATCCTTACTCTCAGTAATATTTCCATGATCTTCCATAAGCCAAAAGAATGTTTTAACATGTCCATTTATTAAGTACAGTCACGTACTACATAATGATGGGGATATAGTCTGAGAAATATGTCACGTGATTTTGTTATTGTGCAAACATCATACAGTGTACTTACATGAACCTAAATGGTATAGCCTACTATACCTCTAGGCTATATGGTATAGCCCCTACTGTATATATGTCATATGGCACATGACTGTAGTTACGTCTAAACAATGTAATAGTAGTCCTTCATTTTATGTCCCACAGACATTTCTGTGTTTCCCTCAAAATTTTAAAATGTCCTGTGAATTCAGTGAATGGAAACAGCTGACTTAAGGGTTTAAGTAATTCCTTGTGTCCAATGAACTAAGGGTATAGGGGAAGGGATTATTAATAAATGAGTCAGGGCTAATGTTTATACTCTTAGTTGTTGGAATGCTAATCATTCCTTTATCTCTGGCTTTGAGATATACATATAAAACATATGTGTGCATTTTTTAAAAGGTAATTTCAACATAATTCCCCAAGGAACTAAATTTAAATCTCCAAAGAACAGTGTTCAGAAGCAGTCAACTTAGGGTTAACAGAGCAAATTGACCAAAGGCCTGTTTTTATTGGAACACAGCGATGCTCATTTACTTGTGTATTGTTTGTGGCTGCTTTCATGCTAACAGGGCAGAGTTGAGTACTTTCAACAGTGACCATACAGTCTGCAAAGCCTAGTAGGTTTATCTGGCCCTTCATTGAAAAAAATTATAGCCCTGGTTTTTCATGGCACCCCATGCCTTTTCGGTGACCTCTTGGAATACAGATTCCCTTTCTCCCATTTTCTTTTCCTTAGCTTAAGGTTCTTATTCCTATTTGCTTCTTAGGAAGTTAGAAGAGTTTTGTTTCATGTTGCAGATGGTCTCACAACAATAATTGTGCTGGAGATACAACAGTGAAATTTCCCTATTAAAGTAAAAATTCAAAATTCTATCATTCCTGAAAAAAGAAATTTAGAATATGAATTGATTTGGTTGAGAGTGGAATTAAAATATTTCTAGAACTTTGAGCATGTTTTAGAAATTTGATCCTTATATTTAACATTGTGTAAATGACATCTTACACTGGCATTTGCTCATGTTTAAGTCAATCTGAAGCTGTTAGTAAACTAAGAAATGAGATCTCTTTGATTTGACTCTCTCGCAATAGTCAAGTAATTTATATCGATTGGTTTTCATTAATCATTATTAGGAAATAGTGTGCTTTATTATGTGGCATTCTATGACAATGACTTGCTCATCAATAGCTCAGGGAACAGGCCAGTTCTTTTATGTAAGAAAGCTGCTTTCCCATCCCCATGCTTTTCTGAGTGTCATATATTTCATTTCTTTGAAAAAAAGACGACCTTGAGTAAATGCTTTCCTTTACTTTTCTTACAGATTTAGAAATCCAAGAAGGATCCTTTTCATAGTCTATTTCTGTCACAGAGAAATGTTCATTCCAAAATATCTGCCCTAAAGGATGCAGGTGACCCAAATATTGAAACAACCTTTGTGTTTCAGTTTGACTTTCAACATCTGTAGCCAAAAGGTTGCAAATAAGATATTGAATAGAAAACCCGTTATCAGCTTATTATTATGAATACCTAAAATTATATAACAATTCTAAATAATACAGTTTTCTTTAAACTGTTGCAGCAATCCATAACATAATATAGCCACTGAGATACACAGTAGAACTCAGGAACAAAAGATATGAATCATCTGCCAGCTCTTCATGGTTGATATATATAGGAGAGACTTTACTGGAATGGAAGATGGAAAAGATAACAAAATGTAGATTAGAATTCCACATTCCCACCTGCCTATCTTCTTGGTTGCTCAGAGTTTGAAGACAGTCATTGACAGACTTAAGCACCTTATAAATGAATAGATCAAAGTAAATAGCTAGTTTTCCTCCCAGATATTAAATTCCATATTTTAAGGGATGTTAGGACAACATTCCAAGCACACTTTAAATGATTTGCTAACTTTGAAGCTTCCCAGGAGTAGCCTATCCCAAGAACCCACTTTTCCAGTAAACTTTCACTGAGAAACTGTTATATGCAATGGAGATGAATTAAACTCAGTGCCACCCTCCAGGAGTGAGTTTTGTAGTTGGAGAGAAAAGGCAAGTGTACATACTCAGGCTATGCTCATTTTAGGCAGACGGTAAGTCCCTCTAGGGCTGGAAAAAGGAAAAGCTCCACTCTGCCTGGAACGATCAAGGAAAGCTTCATGGGAACATATGAAGGATGGGAGGATCTTTGCAGGTAGGGAGGAGGAAGTGGGCATATTTGGCTGAGAATTGGCCTGAGCATAGACAGAGTGGAGAAATGCAAGGTAGAGTGGTGAGAGAACCCTGCTAGGTTGGAAAGGCTGAAATCCACAGGGAAGTGTTGGTAAGTCTGCAGCAGAGTCTCAAATCTTGTGCAAAGTTGAAATGGACAGGTCTTGTTCTTTTCTTACTCTGAGTAGACACGTGCAGCCTTTCTTCAGAGCATCTAGCCCTACATACTTGGCTAATCTGGAGTACCTCTAAGCAGAATAAACACCATGCAACATATCAAAAACATTTTTGCTAGTCACCAGTTAAAGCAAAGCTACAATCACTGAAAACAAAAACTGCATTTGCCAGATCTCCACTGACAAAGAGCAAATGATAGTGATTATCTGAGTAAATTTTGCAAAACTTCAATTTCTGAAAAAGTCTTTGTGACTCCAGAAAATCACCTACTTGCTAAAACTTTTCCAATGAAGGCCCACATCAAGGTTATTGC